CGACTCACTGCAACGTCTGCTTCCCAGGTTCAAGCAACTCTCGTGCCTCAGCCTCCCAAGTAGCTAGAATTACAGGTGCCCACCACCAAGCCCAGCTATATTTTCCTGATTTTCTTCTATTTCATTTGTCCATTTATTTTCTCTTTTGGTCTAATTTCAGAGATTTTCTTTTCTTTATTTCCTAACTCCTACTGAATTTTTAATTTTGTTATCATATTTCTAATTTCCAAGAGGTCTTATGTGTTCCCTGAATGCTCCTTTTACTAACGTTATATTCCTTTTTGATGGTTATATATCTTACCTCTGAGGATATTAATTAGAGGATATTTGACATTTTCTTCAATCTGTACAGTCTCTCTTTCCTTGAAGTTGCTTTTTCCTATTCATCTTGGTCTCTGTTTTTCATGTGAGAGGTTTTCCTCAGTGTCTGTTAAATCTTGATTATCTGTTAATATTTAAGAACGGAGCTAAAAAGCTGAGTAGAGATTTTGAACCAATAGGACCTTGTTGGCCGGAAGCTTCACAACATGTTCTGGCTGGGTTATTTGGCTGCAGGACCCACACAGTAGTGCCTTTAAATTTTCACTCTTGGGGACATCAAATTCCCCTTAGAAGACTCTTCTGGGTTCATGCTCGAAGGATATAATTCTGGCCACCAGTATCATGGGAGCTCACTGGGAAAAGATCAGTGGGTCTCAGTGTCTGTCCACTTAATTTCTCAATTTCCAGCACAGCACCCAGCCCTCAACTCTGCCCAGTGTCCTCCTATGTGAGGACCTTCTGTCATAGACTCTGTGGTGGGGACAGGCTACTGACCTGGTTGTGCAGAGTGGGGAGGGACCTGAGAGTCAAACTGCTTCCTAAACAGACTTTGAACCACTCCTGGTTTTAGGATGCCCCACATCACTTCCAGGAACCCGGCGCTGCCAATTCCTGAGCCTTTGTGGGATTTTGGTTGGTTTCTCAAATTTCCTCACTACTGACTTAGGATTCAGTGTTCCTAGGTCTATTGTATTGTTGGCCACAGTTCTTACTTTCTAGCTTTCAAAATATTGTTGCTATAGGGAGTTGAAAAAAAATGTTGTTGCTATCATTTCTTCCCTTTTTATTAGAAGGAAGAAAAAGGAGATTGTGTGTCTGTTCTCCATCTGCACCTGGAAGTTGGGAGATTTACTTATCACTCTTTAATTTTTTTCTGTTGTTTTATTGTTTAATCAATGTTTTGGTTACAAACTATTAATTATCACAAAATGTTTTACTTTTTTTTTTTTTTGAGATGGAGTCTCTCTGTTTGTTACCCAGGCTGGAGTGCAATGGTACAATCTCAGGTCACTGCAACCTCCACCTGCCGGGTTCAAGCGATTCTCCTGCTTCAGCCTCCTGAGTAGCTGGGATTACAGGTGTGTGCCACCACGCCCAGCTAATTTTTGTATTTTTAGTAGAGACGGGGTTTCATTATGTTGGTCAGGCTGGTCTCGAACTCCTGACCTTGTGATCCGCCCACCTCAGCCTCCCAAAGTGCTAGGATTACAGGAGTGAGCCATGGCACCTGGCAGGGATTGTTTTGCTTTTTAAGATAATCTTGTTCATTTTTTTCAAAGCAGCTATGAGAGTATAGCATGTAAGAACTGAAAAATAATGATCAGCCTTTAAGGCTTTGAGTGGTTCCCAAGTGCTGAGCTCTGTCATATCTGCATGTATATTTACAAAAGAGACAGCTATGACCAACATGGAGAAGGTAATGTACCCACAAACGATGACCCAAGACCAATAAAAAATAACACACCTATAAGCAGGAAATGAAGTCGGTCACAATGAGTCATCATCCGTTGTGTGAAATTTCTTAGGTTATTGTTACCTCAGTCCAGAGAAGAGTTTTCAAATCAGTTGGATACGAGTTATCCCACTCATAATGAATCTTCTGAAGCCATTAGTTGTTTCTTAATTTTTTGATTGTACATTTCAGCATACCCTCAAATATGTAAATGTATTTATTTGCAGGTTATACATGTCATATCAATATCAGTACAATGCTAAAATACAATTAAGTAGAGATCTTTTAAAGGATGAGATAGAAAATAAAATTAGAAGTTCTAAGATTTTCCCTCTTTACCTCAGTGGATCATCTTACACACCATGGAATTTTCCACCATGATGAATACCCAAACACTTAGAAAAGGTTTTTGAAAGATTCCTACTCAGACCCTACCTAGGCATTCTGAATCAGAACTTCTGAGGGTAAGGTCCTAGTGAGACAGCCAAATGCCTACGCAGGTAAAAAGGGGTCCCCGGAGAATCTCTGACCCTCCCCCCAAGTGTTTACATCAGATATTTTTGTGTGGATGAAGGAACCTGCCCAGGGCCTTGTCTGAGCATGCCCGCATGAGCCCTGGGGGAGCAGGGTGGAGCCACAGACTCGGAGAGGAGCGTGGGATTAAGTCTGTGAAGTGGGGAGCCTGTTTTGCTGAGGATTTTTTTCATTTTTCCCTTTTCACCCAGTAAAATCCTGCTCTATTCACCCTTCAATGTGTCCACGTGCCTAATTTTCTTGGTCATGAGACAAGAACCTGGTTTTAGCTGAACCGGGAGCAAAATTCTGAAACACTAGCAAAGACATTTTGAAAAAGTTTCCCTGCTGATTCCCATGTGCACCTTTGGTTTAAAAATACAATTCTAAAGATATAAGAATTAGAACCCCTAAAGGCCAGGCGAGGTGGCTCATGCCTGTGTCTCACGTGTCTGTGTGAAGAGACCCCCAAACAGGCTTTGTGTGAGCAACAAGGCTGTTTATTTCACCTGGGTGCAGGCGGGCTGAGTCCGAAAAGAGAGTCAGCAAAGGGTGGTGGATTATCGTTAGTTCTTACAGGTTTGGGGATAGGCGTGGAGTTAGGAGTTATGTTTTGTGGGCAGGGGGTGGATCTCACAAAGTACATTCTCAAGGGTGGGGAGAATTACAAAGAACCTTCTTAAGGGTGGGGGAGATTACAAAGTACATTGATCAGTTAGGGTGGGGCAGAAACAAATCACAATGGTGGAATGTCATCAGTTAAGGCTATTTTCACTTCTTTTGTGGATCTTCAGTTGCTTCAGGCCATCTGGATGTAAACGTGCAGGTCACTGGGAATATGATGGCTTAGCTTGGGCTCAGAGGCCTCACATTCCTGTCTTCTTATATTAATAAGAAAAATAACATAAAATAGTGTTGAAGTGTTGGGGCAGGGAAAAATTTTTGGGGTGGTAGTATGGAGAGATAATGGGCAATGTTTCTCAGGGCTGTTTTGAGTGGGATTAGGGGCAGTGTGGGAACCTAGAGTGGGAGAGATTAAGGTAAAGGAAGATTTTGTGGTAAGCGGTGATATTATGGGGTTGTTAGAAGGAGCATTTGTTGTATAGAATTATTGGTGATGGCCTGGATGCGGTTTTGTATGAATTGAAAAAAGAACGGAATAAGACAAGGAGAAAAACAGGTATTAAAGGACTAAGAATTGGGAGGACCAAGGACATCCAATTAGAGAGTGCCCAAGGGGGTTCAGCATAATTACTTGCTTGGTTGGCACAAGTTTAGGCTCTATCCTTGAGTTTTTTTATGTTGTCATATACCATGCCAGATTGATTTAGGTAAAAACAGCACTCTGCATTTAAAAATACACAGTCCTCTTTTTTTTAGCAGTCGAGGCCTCGATGATTTTGGAGGAAAGAGAAATGCAAAGCCAGCAATTGTTTGTTAAAGAAGGATTAGAAATGGCTAGGAGAGAGCGACTGAGACTGATAGTGTGGTGGAGATGGCTTGGGAGAGGTAGAGGGTGGCATAAGAACGGGAATGAGAATAAGAGTAAGTATAAAAGTAAGGAATAGGACTTCATCAGGGTGAAAGTATCAGAGGGTACCTTGCCACTGAAGATCTTCTTTTTTTTTTTTTTTTTTTTTTGAGACGGAGTCTCGCTCTGTCGCCCAGGCTGGAGTGCAGTGGCGCGATCTCGGCTCACCGCAAGCTCCGCCTCCCGGGTTCACGCCACTCTCCTGCCTCAGCCTCCCGAGCAGCTGGGACTACAGGCGCCCACAACCGCGCCCGGCTAATTTTTTGTATTTTTAGTAGAGACGGGGTTTCACCGTGGTCTCGATCTCCTGACCTTGTGATCCGCCCGCCTCGGCCTCCCAAAGTGCTGGGATTACAGGCGTGAGCCACCGCGCCCGGCCTCCACTGAAGATCTTCTATCCACTTTAAGAGAGACTTAAGGGTGGCGATTTGAGGTAAAAACAGGAGCCACTAAATACCAAGAGCCTGAGAAACTGCTTGGGTGATTTGACTAATAAAGGCTGGTCTGTTATTGCACTGTATAGAGGTGGGAAGGCTAAACTGAGGAATTATGTCTGACAAAAAGGGAAGAAATGACCGCGGTGGCCTTCTCAGACCCTGTGGGAAAGGCCTCTACCCATCCAGTGAAAGTGTCTACCCAGACCAAGAGGTATTTTAGTTTCCTGACTCGGGGCATGTGAGTAAAGTCAATTTGCCAGTCCTGGGCGGGGGCAAATCCTGGAACTTGATGTGTAGGGAAGGGAGGGGGCCTGAACAATCCCTGAGGGGTAGTAGAACAGCAGATGGAACACTGAGAAGTGATTTCCTTAAGGATAGCTTTCCACCATGGAAAGGAAATGAGAAGTTCTAAGAGGTGGGCTAGCAGCTTGTAACCTACATGGAAGAGGTTATGAAATGACAATAGAATAGAATAGGCCTGTGAGGCTGGAAGGAGATATTTTCCTTGGTCCAAGAACCATTTGCCTTGTGTGGGAAGAGATTGACAGGTGGAAGTTTCAGTGGGGGAGTAGGTGGGAGTGACCAGATGAGAAGGAGAAAAACCGCCGTGAGGGATAGAAGTTGGAACGCTAGCTGCTTTTGTAGCTACCTTATCAGCATAAACGTTGTCCTGAGTGATGGGATATGATGCCTTTTGATGGCCCTTGCCGTGTATGACTCCAGCTTCCTTTGGAAGTAAAGCGGCCTTGAGAAGAGTTTTTATTAAAGATGCATTAATGATGGAGGACCCTTGTGTAGTGAGGAAAGCTTTCAGCCCATAAAACAGCATAGTGGTGAAGGATATGGGGTCAGTATATTGACACGTAGTCCCTTTGCAAGAGTGAGGGCCCAAGTTAAGGCAATGAGTTCAGCTTGCTGAGAGGTAGTGGAGCAGGGCAGGCTTAATCATAGATGCAGAAGATACTATAGCATAGCCTGCCTTTGCTGGTGTGTGGTGATTAGGCCTGGTGGAACTGCCATCGATAAACCAAGTGTGATTAGGGTGAGGAACACAAAAGAAGGAAATACGGGAAAATGGAGTGAATGTCAGGTGGATCAGAGAGATACAGTCATGGGAGTGGGGGCCAGCCTAAAACGGTAAGGTTAAATTGTTTGGACAGAAAGGCTACAGGGCGTGGTCCTGGCTCTTGTGTAAGATATTGACCGCACAGCCCTGTACTTTGGCTGTGTGTAATGGAAAGGGTTGGGATGAGTTAGGGAGAGCCAGCGAGGGGCAACTTCTAGGGCTGTTTTTAAGGAACGGAATGAGGAGTGGTGAAAGGATTTAGGATCTATGGGGTCAGCTAGGTTTGCTTTTGTGAGTTTACATTATAGTTTATTCAGGGTGGCAAAAATGGGTATCCAAAGGTGGAAGTACCTAACCATGCCTAGGAAGGAAAGGAATTGTTGTTTTGTAGAAGGGGTTCAGGTTTGGGAGATTAGCCAGACATGATTAGCAGGGAGAGCATGTGTGTTTTTATGAAGAATTGTGTCGAGATACGTAATGGATGAGGAAGAAATTTGGGCTTGACTGAAGTGATGGGGAATGTCCGTGAAGCCTTGCAGCAGTATAGCCCAGGTAATTTGCTGAGCCTGATGGGTGTCAGGGTCAGTCCAAGTGAAAGCAAAGAGAGGCTGGGATGAAGGGTGCAAGGAATAGTAAAGAAAGCGTGTTTGAGATCCAGAAGAGAATAATGGGTTATGGAGGGGTTGTGGAGGGAGGTATTGAGGATATGAGAGTATTATGGCTTTGGCACCATGGGGTGGATAGGCAAACAATTTGGTTGATAAAGTACAGATCCTGAACTAACCTATAAGGCTTGTCCGGTTTTTGGACAGGTAAAATTTGGGGGATTTTAAGGAGAGTTTACAGGCTTTAAAAGGCCATGCTGTAACAGGCGAGTGATAACAGGCTTTAATCCTTTTAAAGTGTGCTGTGGGATGGGATATTGGCGTTGAACAGGGTAAGAGTGATTAGGTTTTAATGGGATGGTGAGGGGTGCATGATCGGTCGCTAAGGACGGAGTAGAGGTATCCTATACTTGTGGTTTAAGGTGGGGAGATACAAGGAGAGGATGTGAAGGAGGCTTTGAACTGGGGCAAAAGGTAGCACCGAGGTGTAGATGTAGCCCAGGAATAGTAAAGGAAACAGGTAATTTAGTTAAAATGTCTTGGGAGCTGGGCAGGTGGGGAGAACTAAAAAGGAGTGCATTAAAGAATGTTGTCCAAGTTGGCACCAGAGTTGGGGAGTTTTAAAGGGTTTTGAAGCTTGGTCGTCAGTACCCACAACAGTTATGGGGGCAAGGGAAACAGGCCCTTGAAAAGAAGGTAATGTGGAGTGGGTAGCCTCTGTATTGATTAAGAAGGGGACGGACTTACCCTCCACTGTAAGAGTTATCCAAAATGTCTGTGATGGTCCTGTAGGCTTCTGAGGCGATTGGGCAGTGTCAGTCTTCAGCCGCTAAGCTGAGAAGATCTGGGAAGGAGTTAGTCAGAGAGCCTTGGGCGAGAATTCCAGGAGCTCTGGGAGTGGCTGCCAAGTGAGTTGGACAGTCCGATTTCCAGTAGGGTCCCGCACAGACGGGACATGGCTTAGGAGAAATCCTGGGCTGTGGGCATTCCTTGGCCCAGTGGCCAGATTTCTGGCACTTGTAGCAAGCTCCTGCAGGAGGAGGTTCCGGAGGAACCCCTGGCAGCTGCAGGTCAGGCATTTGGAGTTCTTGTGTGCTGGAGATGTGGCTGGGGTTTGTGTCACAGTGGAGGCAAGGAATTGTAACTCAGAAATACATTGCTCCTTGGCTGCCTCTACTTTATTACTGTACACCTTGAAGGCGAGGTTAATTAAGTCATGCTGTGGGATTTGAGGGCCGGATTCTAATTTTTGGAGCTTTTTCTAATGTCGGGAGTGGGATGGATAATAAAATGCACATTGAGAATAAGATGGCATTTTGACCTTTTAGGGTCTAGGGTGGTAAAGCGTCTCAGGGTTGCTGCCAAACGAGCCATGAACTGGGCTGGGTTTTTCATATTTGATGAGAAAGAGCCTAAATGCTAACTGATTTGGGAGAGGTCGGATAAAGAAAAAGGAGCATTAACCTTGACTATGCCTTTAGCTCCAGCCACCTTTTTAGGAGGAAGTTGCTGGGCAGGTGGGGGAGGGCTAGTTGCAGAATGAAACTGTAAGCTGGACTGGGTGTGAGGAGGGGAGGTGATAGAAGGATTATAGGGTTGGGGAGCAGAGGCTGAGGAAAAATTGGGACCTGGCTTGACCTGGTGAGGAGCAGCCTGGGAAGAAGGGGAGAGGTCAGATGAGTCCGTAGAAAAGAAAGATTCAAAGGACTCAGAGCTTGAGGTGGAGATGCAAGGAACAGATAGGAGAGAAAGAAGAAAGATTTGGGAAGAGTCTCATTAGGAGCAGAGACTAGGGAGGGACCAAGGTGTAAAAGAATGCCTGGACGTCAGGCACTTCAGACCATTTGCCCATTTTTCGACAAAAATTATCTAGATCTTGTAGGATAGACAAATCTCAAGTGCCATTCTCTGGCCACTTGGAACTACTGTCGAGTTTGTACTGGGGCCAAGTGGTACTGCAGAAGAAAATAAGATGCTTAGATTTTAGGTCAGGCAAGAGTTGAAGAGGTTTTAAGGTCTTGAGAACACAGGGAGAAGGGAGAAGAAGGAGGAATGGAGGGTGGAAGGTTGCCCTTAGTGAAGGAGGCAAGTTTAAAGAGAAGGGTAGTGACACAGAGAAGGGGGTTGGGTAGCAGTCCTGGGCCGCAACGTGGGTGAGCAGCCAAAGCAGGCGTCCCCGCAATTGACTTGCCACCAAGGGAACCTGGATGAATGATCAAGGCAGGCGTCCCCACGGAGATGAGACACCAATGGAACATGGGTGAATAGTCAGAGAGGCGTCCCCGCAATGATTAAACACCAAGGGAAGGCTGCCTTCCCGAGTCCGTGACCGGCGCCGGAGTTTTGGGTCCCGGGATAAAATGTGTCTCCTTTGTCTCTACCAGAAAATGAAAGGAATTGAAATTAAGAGAAGGGAGAGATTGAAGGGTGGCGCCAAGACTGAAAGGAGAAAGAGGTTGGGGGGATAGTGAGAGAGGTTGGAGAAAAGAATAAAAAGAGACTGCTTACCCGATTTAAAATCGGTGAGATGTTCCTTGGGCTGGTTGGTCTGAGGACCCGAGGTCGTAGGTGGATCTCTTCACGGAGTGAGGGTGAGGACAGGGTCTCCTGAAGAAGTTCCACTGACCCGGGTTTTCGGCACCAAATGTCCCACATGTCCGTGTGAAGAGACCCCTAAACAGGCTTTGTGTGAGCAACATGGCTGTTTATTTCACCTGGGTGCAGGGGGGCTGAGTCCGAAAAGAAAGTCAGCAAAGGGTGGTGGATTATCATTAGTTCTCACAGGTTTTGGGATAGGTGGTGGAGTTAGGAGCAATGTTTTGTGGGCAGGCTGTGGATCTCACAAAGCACATTCTCAAGGGTGGGGAGAATTACAAAGAACCTTCTTAAGGGTGGGGGAGATTACAAAGTACATTGATCAGTTAGGGTGGGGCAGAAACAAATCACAATGGTGGAATGTCATCAGTTAAGGCTATTTTCACTTCTTTTGTGGATCTTCAGTTGCTTCAGGCCATCTGGATGTAAACGTGCAGGTCACTGGGAATATGATGGCTTAGCTTGGGCTCAGAGGCCTGACAGCCTGTAATCCCAGCACTTTGGGAGGCCAAGGTGGGCGGATCATGAGGTCAGGAGTTCAAGACCATCCTGACCAACATGGTGAAACTCTGTCTTTATTAAAATACAAAAATTAGACAGGTATGGTGGTGCATGCCTGTAATCCCAGCTACTCGGGAGGCTGAGGCAGGGGAATTGCTTGAACCCAGAAGGCGGAGGTTGCAGTGAACCAAGATCACGCCATTGTACTCCAGCCTGGATGACAGAGCCAGACTCCATCTCAAAAAAAAAAATTAGAATCCCTAAAACACTGAACATAGTAGTCAAATGGCTACTGAATGCAAAGATCAGGCAATTAACACTGGGAAATGTATAGTTCAATAGAGTATCTGGATCATCATGTGCCTCAAAAAACACTGTCCCCCTCCCAACTCCATATTTTTCTTCCTCTGTCTCTGTCCTTTCCTTTATATTTTATTAATTTATTATTATTATTTTTTTGAGACGGGGATCTCTCTAAGTTGCCCAGTCTGCTCTCAAATGATCCTCCTGCCTCGGCCTCCCAAGGTGCTGGGATCACAAGTATAAGCCAACGTGCCTGGCCTCCCCTCAATTTTAATATAACTTGAACTTTACTATTACATGCATAGATATTCATTATAGAAAATATAGATAAGCAAAAAAGAAGAAAATAAAAATGAATTCATAATTCCAAAATAATGAAAATGTTTATTCATAGCCTTCGAGGTATTTACACAAACATGTATTTAAAAGGGAATCAGTGGGGGGCGGTGGCTCACAGGTGTAATACCAGCACTTTGGGAGGCTGAGGTGGGCAGATCACCTGAGATCAGGAATTTGAGACCAGCCTGGCCGGCATGGTGAAACCCCGTCTCTACTAAAAATACAAAAATTAGCAGGGCATGGTGGCAGGCGTCGATAATCCCAGCTACTCTGGTGGCTGAGTCAGGAGAATTGCTTGAACCCAGGAGGAGGAGGTTACTGTGAGCTGAAATCGTGCCATTGCACTCCAGCCTGGGAGACAAGAGTGAAACTCGGTCTCAATAAATAAATATAAAAGGGAATCATACTGTACGTGCCATTTTTAACCTGAGTTTTTTCACTGTGTAATTATGTATTTTTTCCGAGATAATGAGAGTGAAAGCTCTGACAGAGCCAGGAACAGTGGCAAGAATGCTGATCGGCAAAGAGCAGGTGGTGAGATCAGAAACTCCCCCACTAACCTGCTGAATTGCGATCCTCTCCCTCATATTCTCTTCCCTCTATCTTCTGATCCTCCCTGACTTCATGTCTCTCCTTCTGTTTGCCTTCTACATGCTCTTTCCCTTTCTCTTTTCTTTCACCTTCTACCCTCAATTCTCTCTACTAAAGCAACCGAGGCCTTCAGGACAAGGGTTAATATTTAATAGAATTAAACTTCCTGCTGATTTGACAAGGGATGCATAACCAGGAAGCTGGAGCGACAGCTGCACCCTCCTCTGAAGTGGGGATTTTCTGAGCAAGCCCAGGCAAGAGCCCTCTGTTCTTTTTTTTTTTTTTTGAGACAGAGTTTCATTCTTGTTGCCCAGGCTGGAAAGCTGGAGTGCAATGACATGATCTTGGCTCACTTCTCCTGCCTCAGCCTCTCAAGTAACTGAGATTACAGGCATGCGCCACCATGCCCGGCTAATTTTGTATTTTTAGCAGAAATGGGGTTTCACCATGTTAGTCAGGCTTGTCTCCAACTCCTGATCTCAGGTGATCCACCCACCGTGGCCTCCCAAAGTGCTGGGATTACAGGCATGAGCCACCACACCCAGCCTGAGCCTTCTGTTCTTGATGACTGTTATTTCCACTCGGGAGCCCAAATTAAAGTTCCCTATTTGTCTCAGAAGCAAGGTGTGGCTAGAGGCAGTGGGGTACCCAGGTTGTCAGGAAGAGCCATGTCAGGACGATTGCATTTCTGGAATTGAAACCAACGGAGAGATGGTTGACAGAAGGTGAGGACTGAGAAGGAGGCAGGCATGAAAATCCAGAACAAACCAGTTGCAGAGCTTCCACACTGGTGTTGCAAAACCGGTCACAGAAAGCCAGTTCCTCTTGCTTTAGGTGGCGATAATCTTCTACATGCTGGTTACCTCAACCCCACTGACAAAGACATTTCCACTTGTAGTTATTAATCCACTGGTAGTGAGGAAACTACCAGTTTGAAAACTTTGAAATGAACTTTGAAAACTTCATTGGGCTGGTGTGAAAGAAAGCGCTTTCTACTACACTAAAGCCAAATTGTGTTTTTCAGAGGCCGTGGAAAATTACTATTTTCATTAAATGCAAATTGTTGCCCCCAAGCCAGTGACATTCTAAGGGATGAAACTGTCATTGGCTTTATTAACTAGGAGAGGCTACTTTACTCAGCTCTCTAAAGGCACTCTGCTGTGGAAGGTTCTAGAAAATGAGTGGAAAGTGACTCATTCTCCACCCTCATCCCCAAAACCAAAACTCCCCCTGCGGCAAAACACCCCCTGAAGCAGCAGGAGTTTATGGATTATCCTCAGAGTGGGGGTGTAGCACGTGGGCCACTAGATGCTTCAGGGGGCAGCAATTAAGTGCTTCGCCAGGGACATTAGTCACAGTGGGTGGGACCCTCCCTGTCATCCTGCAGAAATGGGAGCCAGAGAAGCTGGTAATAGCTGAAGAGAGGGAGGCCCCATTCCCTACAACCTCTCCCTTTTCCCAGCACAGCAGCAAGTACTTAATATGTACAAGCACTTAGCATATGTACAAGGTCAGAAAGGAGGTGAAAAATAGGGAGAAGGTGTTTTGACATAAATATTTCCAGAAAGGATCTCTTAAGGAAGAGCATCTCTGGCTCACGGCAGAGTTGAAACTTAAAAGATAAAAAAAAAAAATTATTCGAGAAAAACTAGAAAATTTTTTCCTTGGCCGGGCACGGTGGCTCAAGCCTGTAATCCCAGCACTTTGGGAGGCCGAGACGGGCGGATCACGAGGTCAGGAGATCGAGACCATCCTGGCTAACACGGTGAAACCCCGTCTCTACTAAAAATACAAAAAACTAGCCGGGCGAGGTGGCCGGCGCCTGTAGTCCCAGCTACTTGGGAGGCTGAGGCAGGAGAATGGCGTAAACCTGGGAGGCAGAGCTTGCAGTGAGCTGAGATCCGGCCACTGCACTCCAGCCTGGGTGACAGAGCGAGACTCCGTCTCAAAAAAAAAAAAAAAAAAAAGAAAATTTTTTCCTCCTCCTCACCCGGAGAAACAAATCTCTACTTATAGTAGCACCTGAAGTTTTACCATTAGTGACTCATTCCTTCGTGAATTGCAGGAGACTGGTATTTAAGAGTTCTGTATTGAAATGCAAATATTTGTGAGACCTGCCAATAATTTTTGCTAGCATCAGAATCCTTGAGATGACCTCAAATACAGATTCCTGGTGGCATAGACATGCATACTTCGTCCCCCTAGTCCTCACTACAACCATGGCCTTCAGCCAATAGATGAGTTCTTCAGTTCTCTGGCTTCTGATGGGACCCTGATGTAGTTAACTTAAGTTCTTGCCTTTGCAGGCTAGAAAATGATTTCCACTGTGGCGACAGTTTGGCTACCTCAATCAGAATGGACCCTTTATAGTTAAAGATGAAAGCAATGGAAAACTGTAAATAGTTGGGTTTTTAAAATTTTGGCACGTCAAAATGGAGGGCGGCTATACAGGAGTCAACACTGTCACCTTCCTCCACTGAATCCATGGCCCCTTCCTATATCTTGTCCCATTCTTTTCTCCTTGATTTCTCTACAATTACATTCTCTTTCTCCTTTTTCTCCTACCTTTCAAGACACAGACATATTAGGAATGCAACTGTATTTGTCTTATACGTACTTAATCATTTAATACTTTCTTTCCACAACATAGTGAGAAATAAAATTCTAAGCCCCCAACTGATTGAATGGACTCTTGGCCAAAGGAGCCCCAAAGAAACCTTGGAAGCTGAATTCATGGCCACAATCTGACACCTCCTCCCTCGATAAAAGTCATTAGGTTTCCTTCTCTAAGTTCTAAACAGAAACCAGTCCTTTCAACAGGCTACTAGCCTGTCTTCCCAGACACAGAACAAAGACAAGATGAGGTTAATGGTTCCTTCATCACTCCCCAAGACCACTGCTTCCTCTATTCCCCTTTTCTTCAACGCTGGCCTTATCTGATATGAAATGTAGATTTTGGGAGCACTAATTAAGTCTCACAAATACATTCTCATTGGTCTCACTGCCGCCCCTCATCCACCCCTTTTAAAAGAAAATGAAGAAATACTAAACTTCCTGAGAATCTCTTTGGAAAAAACAGCCACAGATGCTTCTGTGACTCATGTTTTTTCCCGGGCACGCCCTCACACTGGCTCAAAACCTGGATGATTTGAATCTTAGGCTTCAATCACTCATTTTGGTTTTCAACAGGTTTAATATTTTACTTGAGAATAGAGTCGTGTCAGTGAGTTGGCTATTTTTACTCAATGGGCTTAGCAGCTATGATAGGGGAGAAAAGGCCTTACCTCTGTTTTGTGATGTTAAGAGTGAAGGGATCATTGATCAGGTGCTGAGAGCCACAGGGCCACCTAGAGTGTCAGAGGGTAACAAGGGTGAGTTGGGGGTTTGAAAAAACAAGACCAAGGACAAGATCTCCCTCCCTCTCAGACTGGCAAAAGAACAAGTTAAAATCAGACCTGACCAGTGAGCCCTGGTTAACAGTCCACCCTGGGGCAGTGGCAAAGACTCCACAAGTTGCTCTCTACTCACCCCCTCCATAAGATTTCCTCAGGTCGGGAGGGCATAGGGACCCAGGGTTATTCTGCAGAGTTGAGACAACCATAATGTGCCTCTTCTACCTGTTGGCCTCCTTTTCCCCACTTCAATACATACACGTGAAATTAAATGAAAATTAACACCAAGGACCCCACAAAGGGTAAAGAAGCCACTAAAAGCCAAGAAAGCAGAGTGTGTGGACAAAAGAAGGGGGAAGTCACTCCAGATTCTCTGGGTTGATAGGTGTAGCTTGGAAGACTAAGTTACTGATATTTTCAAGCCTCAGCTGGCCAAGCCCTCTTCTCCCCTAGATGGGGATGGCCTCCATGAGCTCCAACAGGCAGCCTGGCCGACCTCCCAGCTCTGCTCAGTTGCTTGGCACCCCACAGAGTAGAGAAGGTGAAGCCCATAATGAACACACTGCCCTGGCCACTTACTTCCCCCAACCAAAGAAGCCCTTGTCTCCCAGTCCTCGACCATTTCCGGAGACCAGCTTGTGACACAGCCACAACCTCTGGTCACTCTGTCAACTATCTGCAGTTCCTCCTTCTTCCTTTCCTCTCTCCCCTCATAAACAATGACGGTTGATGTTTCCACTAGCTACAGATGCTGATGCCAAGATTAGCTGTGGTCAAGATGATATTCTCCATCCTCCAAAACAATGACCAAAATGTCTTATTTTATGGCTAGGAGTTTTACTTTCTTTCATATGAAATATTTAATATATTTTCACTGTGCTCATTTTTGTTCTGTGTGGTGATAGTTAATAGCAAAACTTATGCTACCCAACCAAGAAATAAACAAGGAACTTCTTGATCACAGGAGGAACTGACTATGCAGCTGAAAGCAGAGGTGCAAAAAAGAGCTTTTTCTATATTTGATTCCTTTTCTGATTTGTATAATCTCCCCATCAAAAAAAAAAAAATCAACGAATTGTGTAATTCAGTTTCTCAAGTGTCATAACAACTTGTGTTCCCTGTTCCACTCTCCCCACACACAGAATTCCTAATAAGAAATGAAAGCGCACATAGACATCTATTGTTTTAAGCAGGTAGCTATATGCCTCTGCTGCCGTTCGCCAAAGACAGGGCAAGTTCTCATTTGTGTAAAGCCCAGATACCAATACTTAACAGCTTTCTCTTCTATAAGTTAAAATCTAAAAAATAGAATTTCAGAACAAGGGAGGAAAATATGAATATTACAACACATAATATTGAGGCAACCATAGTCTCATGGGAAAAAAAAAAACCAGGATAGAACTCAGATGATGCAGAGTTTTAAATGTAAAAATAAAAGAACAAAAGTAAGAGAGAAAAAATGGTTTTTTAAAAATACGTTTTGGAGGTTGGGCGCGGTGGCTCACCCCTGTAATCCCAGCACTTTGGGAGGCCGAGGCGGGCAGATCATGAGGTCAGGAGTTCAAGACCAGCCTGGCCAACAAGGTGAAACCCCTTCTCTACTAAAATACAGAAATTAGCCAGGCATGATGGCAGGTGCCTGTAATCCCAGCTACTCAGGAGGCTGAGACAGAATTGCTTGAACCCGGGAGATGGTGGTTGCAGTGAGCCAACTGCACTCCAGCCTGGGCGGCTGAGCGAGACTCCGTCTCAAAAAAAATTTTTTTGGAGTCAGGAGGACCTTTCTAAGTATTACATAAAACCAAAATGCCATAAAAGTCTGATAGATTGAACAATATACTTTTCTTTTTAACTTCCAGAAACAAAGCCAAAAAAAGACAAATGACAAAATGAGAAAAATGTGTTGGCAACTCTCATCACAAACATGTAATTTCCTTCAGATAAAAAGAGCTCCAAACTTAATACTCTAAGAAAAAGACCAAAAACCCAATAGAAAAAAAAAAAAAAAGGAAAGAATACAAGTAGATAGTTTACAAAAAAGGAAATAGAAGTGCCTCATAAACATGTAAGAAAATGTTTTTGTAAGTTAATTTAAATAATTCAGTTTTACTGTATTTAAATATAATTTAAATTTAAATTACACTAATATATCATTCTTTGCCTATCAGATCGACAAATTGCAAAAAGTTTGATAATGTACTTTGCGGGCAAGGCTGTGAGAAAACAAGCATCTTACCTGTTGCTAGTGAATGTAAACTGATACCATCTTACCAGAAGGCAATTTAAACAGTATCTTTTATTTTGCAAATGTATATAACCTTGACCTGAAACTCTACTCGTAGGAATTTATCCTATAGATATGCCCGCATATATGAAAAAGCAAGTACATAGAAATTTATTTGCAACTGCTCTGTTGATTTGCAAATAGATTATTATGCAGAACTGAAGAAGAGACTAAGGAAGTTCTCCATGTACTGGTATAGAATGATTTTCAAGATGTTTTGTTACATGAAGAAAAGTAAGGAGACAGCAATGCTTGTGTGTGTGCATGTATATGTAGGTAACACGTGTGCAAATGCATTTAGAAATATTCTAAATATTTATTATTATTGTATAACTTTCTAAAGGTATATTTTAAAAATCCATTCACTTATCTCTAGAAAAGGAAATTGGACAGCTGGGGACAGACAGGGAGACAGACATTCTACTGTATATCTTTTTGTATGTACCTTCTGCATTTTGAACCATGTAAATGTATTACTTTCTTAAAAATAAATAAAATATTATGATTATTTTATTTATTTATTTATTTATTTATTTATTTATTTATTTATTTTGAGATGGAGTCTTGCTCTGTCACTCAGGCTAGTATGCAGTGGCGTGATCTCAGCTCACTGCAACCTCTGCCTCCTGGGTTCAAGTGATTCTCCTGGCCTCAGCCTCCGTAGCAGCTGGGATTATAGGCATGCACCACCATGCCTGGCTAATTGTTGTATTTTTGTAGACATGGGGTTTCACCATGTTGGCCAGGCTGGTCTCAACCCCTGACCTCAAGTGATCTGCCTGCCTCGGCCTTCCAAAGTGCTGGGATCAGAAGTGTGAGCCACCATGCCCAGTCTAAAAAGAAATATACTATTATAATGAAGAATAAATAAAGAAGCAGTAATACATGAGCTTGAGTGAGCTTCAAAAAGGATGAATAGGATGGTGGATTTTATGTTATGTAAATTTTACCTCAATTTAACAACAAAAAGGAGAGCAGGATTGCAACAGGGAGCTAAAGGCGAAGCCTGTCCTTCCTCCAGTGCACCTCTCTCTTTGGCATGGCTCTACTAATGATGTGCTGATCAAGGCTGAACAAAAGATGCCTCCCCACCACAATAAAAAGCATGGATTTGTATCATTTGCCAATTTGTATCAATTGTATCAATTCCCACCAATGAACATGGAATTGGGACAAAATGCACACAATTGGCTCCTGTGAGCCAGTGCAATTGAGACCCAGGACACCACTGGCATTTACCCAGTTACTGAAACCAGAACCTGGGAAACATTCTCGATTCTTAAACCTTTCCTCTCTCTCCCCTCACTACCCATGGTCTGCTCAGTAGCCAATGCACTCCTCCCACATCAGGTAGAAGCCTTGTAATTTAGGAATGGATCCTGTCCCCAGGTGGTCTAACCCAATATATATGCTGCCACCCATTGATACGCAAAGACATTTATCCTTTGGGATAGCCAGCTGAATCCTGGGCCACCTGGAGGCCCAGGGTGCTTGCTTTGAGTCATTCCAATCTGCCAGCTATATAAGCATTATTATTTGTTGAAAAGATAGGGAGGCTTCAGACTAAGGGAATTAGAGTCATCTATTCCCCTCACAGGTGACTGACTCAGGACCTCAGTACTAAGTCATTTAGTGCATGCTATTCCCTAGTCACAGAGATTAGCCCAAATGTGGACTCATGACTCAGTTCAGGCCAATGAGATGTAATAAGAGGTTTGCTGGAGGTCTCTGAAAAATTTCCTACTCTTCAGAGAGTTGCAGGAAGAGATAATTTCTCTCTTCCTTATACAGAAGATGAGATCTGGAACTGCCACCACCATCTTAGCAGGCAGCCTAAGCACAAACCCCTCCCCGAGAGGCAGGAGGGCCAAGTACATGGCCAGAGCCAGACACTCCAGCCTATGTTTGGACTTCCCATGCTGTAGGCCAATACATTTCCTACTTTTAAGGTAGTTGGATTTAGATTTTCTTTCTTGCTGTTGAATGCATCTTAAGCAACACAGTTTTGACCTATTTGTGCTGGTTTATTTTATGTGTCAACATGGCTAGGCCAGTTATTCAAACACTAACCTGGGAGTTACTAGTAAGGTTTGTAGGTGTGATGACATCTACTTAAAATGACTTGAAGTAGATTATCTTTGCTAATCTGGGTGGGCTTCATCCAATCAATTGAAAGTTCTTAAGAGAAAAGCAAGTTTCCTTGAAGAAGAAAAAATTCCACCTGCAGACTGCAGCACCAGCTCTTGCTCAAGAGTTCCCAGCCTGCTGGCCTGTCCTACAGTTTCAGACTTGCCTAGTCAGTCCCCACAGTCACATAAGCCCACTCCTGTCACAAATCTCTTGCTCTCCTTCTCTCTGTGTATATATATATATGTACATATATACACACACACACACACACACACACACATATATATATATATATATTTATATACTGGCTCTGTTTCTCTAGTCTAACCCTGATCAATGCACTTCTTTTTTTCCTTTATGATACTTATCTCAATTTGTGATTATATACTCTGCATTTATTATGTATATTCCAATATTCACAGTTAGACTATAGGCTTTATGGACATATGTGAGTAATTCCAGAAGTAGAATTTCTGGTCAACGATTATACACATTTGGAAGATGAAAAATATTGCTAACTTACCATCTTCACAGGTTGTACCAATTACACTCTTACTAGATTATAGCCTTCACGTCTTTTGTATTACTATGTGTTTCTGGCACATAGTAGGTATTCAATAGATACAAACAGATGGGATTCTAGGAAAAGAAACACAAATTAAGGCAAAGAGACATAAAGGTATGCTACATTGGGAAGTTTTTTGTTTGACTAAACCACTTTTTCTTTTAGTTCCCCTTTCCTCTACAGGTGACTTGAAAATTCGGAGTAATTCACAATCTGGTGCTTACTCAGCAGCAGCAGGCAGAACTTTGAGTTTGGGGTAAGCCCTCAGTTTGAACACAAACTCTGTGACATTCAAGCTGTCCAACCTTGGGCAGATCCTTAGCCTGTATCATCCTCAGCTTCCACATCTTTGTGGAAATGAAGCTGATGACCTTCCAGACTGGAGTGAAGATCAGGAGATAAAACATAAAGCTCCTGGTCCATTATGCACTGTGGACATGGGGATTATCATAAGGTCCTCCCTGCAAATTTGGGAACAGAAAGCAACAATGTGCTCTAAAAACAATGTAAATTGAACACATAAAGCACCGGGGCAGAGACATAAGGTGACCATGAGGAGACAAGCAGGATACCAACCAAGCTGAAGTTGGTAAAACACCTAAAGGAGGATATGACAACTAGAAGGGGATTGTCAGACACAAAGCCTAGAAAAAGCAGAGTCAGAGACAAAGTGAGGCTGTGCCTCTGAAGGCATGTCCCATCAGTCCCCAACATTCAGTCCAAAAGGTCATTCCAATCATGAGAACACATCCATCTGTCTGCCTGAACTTAATACTGTTCTACTTTTGAATTACATAAATAGCTCTTTTTGTTCAGATTCCACATTGACCAAAACCTTTCTGATAGTTTGGGGTCCTATCTGGCCTGTCCACAGGGAGTTTTCTCTGGTCAGGCTCACCTGGCCAACCAGCTCTCCCGACCCAGCATCCCACTCAAACACCTGTGTTCTCTTTTATTTTAGAGGTTAGACAGGACAATCTGATCCAGATGGGGGAGGAAATTGCAATCATGTTTTTGTCTAATTCACAGCTCTAATTAGGGGATAAAAGAAAAGTAGAGCATGAGAAAAAATTGTCCAAGAGCTGGAAAATTTGTAAAAGCACCCACATCCCTATGGGGAAGGCACCCTTGTGAACTTTGCCTCTACAGCTAAGCTGACCTCATACCAACTCTGCAAGGAAGAAAGGGCAAGGACTTTACATTGTATTTATTTATTTACTTATATCCAGCTTATTCCTTAAAGAACTTAAGGCAAGCAGGCTTTAAGGGCCATCTTCCCTGACTAGTGACAAAACTAAGTGATAAAAAGAAGTTTGTCCAGAATCACATACTTTTTATATAAAAGTCCAGAAACCAAACCCTGACTTTCTTAGCCTAGGTTAAAGCTCTTGCCAAAGAACCAAACTGAAGATGAGAAAACAGTGCGTTTGTTCTAAACAGAGTGCTGAATTCAGAAGACTTAAGGATGGGCTTTAGACTAGGACTGAAGTTTGTAATCTGTGATTCAGTTTTTATGTTTTTGTAATTTCCTTATTCCAGTCTTTTGAATTCTTTTAGATTTTTTATTTATCGTAAAGTAGAAGATTTTTGATTCCAGCCATAATAGAGTAGCTTATATTGAGCTAACCCTCCCATTGAAAACAACTGTAACCGATGGACTAAGTATATAGCACATTTGAAGGCATTGGAGGGCAACCAAGGCAGATGATCCCTAAGAGAAGGGAGGCACATCAAAGGGATCTCGATACTCACCCTGGCCCAACTCACAGGTCAGGGAATAAAGTAAGTGGCGGTTCCATTAGGCTGAAGAGACAGATTGGAGTTCAAAGCTGCTCAAGTGGCTGCGACTTGATAGTAAAATCTCAAGGAGGAGAGAGTTGCAGAGAAATAAACCCAAAAAGGCTACATGCAATCTCTCCTTGAGATGTTTTCAAACTCCTAAGCTGAGCAAGCACAGGCAGAGACTGCAGGAGAACCAAAAGAAAAACAGGAGCTGGGAGGCTGAAGAGCTGGGCAAAGAATTTTGCAGCAGCGTGGTACTGAGGAGATAGAAAAACAAAGCCCAAACTCTTGGTTGAAACCCCAAGAAAGACCTGTGAATAGTCACTGCACTCCAGGCTAGGCAACAGAGTGAGACCCCATCTCTTAAAGCTGATAACCAATAAGTTAAAACAAGAGAGGAAAAAAAGGAATAATAAAAATACTTGATTCTCTCCCCGCAAAAAGCAAGAAAGGAGAAATAAAGAACAGAAATAGAAACAAGTTAACAATATAATAGAGTTAAACATAAATATTTCAATAATTACATTAAATGTTAATGGATTAGTACCCCAATTAGAAGATCAGAATTACTTTTAGACAAAAAAGAAAAACACATATTCTGTTTACAAGAGACTCAATTTAGGCTGGGTGCAGTGGCTCACACCTATAATCCCAGGACTTTAGGAGACCAAGGTGGGTGGATTATTTGAGGCCAGACGTTCAAGACCAGCCTGGCCAACACAGCAAAACCCTGTCTCTACCAAAAATATAAAAATTAGCCAGGCATGGTGGTGTAATGTCTGTAATTCCAGCTACTCAGGAAGCTGAGGCAGGAGAATTGCTTGAGTCAGGAGGCAGAGATTGTAGTGAGCCAAGATCACGCCACTGCACTCCAGTCTGGGCGACAGATGAGATTGTCTAAAAAAAAAGAGAGAGAGAGAGAGAGAGAGCGTGAGAGAGACTTAATTTAAATAGAAGACACAAAGTTTAAAGAAAAACAATGGAGACTGGGCACAGTGGCTCACGTCTATAATTCCAGTACTCCTGTACTTAGGGAGGCCGAGGTGGGTGGATCACTTGAGGCTAGGAGTTCACGACCAACCTGGCCACATGGCGAAACCCCATCTCTACTAAAAAAATACAAAAATTAGCTGGGTGTGGTGGCACAAACCTGTAGTCCCAGCTACTCTGGAGGGTGAGGCAGGAGAATCACTTGAACCTGGGAGGTGGAAGTTGCAGTGACCAGAGATTGTGCCAGTGTGCTCCAGCCTGGGCAACAGAGCGAGACTCACTATCAAAAAAAATAAAAATAAATAAAAATTAGCTAGGCATGGTGGGCACAGGCCTGTAGTACTAGCTACTACAGAGGCTGAGGTGGTAGGATTGCACTTGAGCCCAAGAGGCCGAGGCTGCAGTGAGCCATGATCGTGTCACTGTACTCCAGCCTGGGCAAGAGAAAGAGACATACCCTGTCTCAAAAAAATAAAAGAATAGAAAAAAAAAAAAACAAAAACCCATGCCATGCCAACAGTAACCAAAAAAAAAAAAGCTGGTATAGCTATATTAATTCAGACAGCATAGACTTTAGAGCAAGAAATATCTCTGAAGAGGGACATCTCATAATGATAAAAAGATCAATTTTTTGTACCAATTTGTAAATTTAAATGTACCTAAGAATTTATAATTTGTAAGTTTAAAAAAAAAAAATGTTTCCTAGCGTGGTTTCAATACATATTAAGCAAAGTTGTCAAAACTAAAAGGAGAAATAGATAAATCCACCATCATTATTGGAGATTTTAACACTTGTTTCAATAGATAGAACAAGCAGACAAAAAAATCAGTAAGGATATGTAAGATCTGAATAACAGAAGTAACTAAATTGACCTAATTGACATACATATATAGAACTTGACAAATGCAGACTAAATACTGTTTTTCAAGAGCATGTAAATACTTATCAAAATGGACCATATGCTAGCGCGTAAAGCAAGTCTCAAAAATTTCAAAGGACTGAAATTATATAGTGTGTGTTCTCTGACTACAATGGAATCCAACTAAAAATCTATAACAGGAAGATAAGTAGAAACCCCTCCCCACAAGTGTTTGAAAATCAATCAACAGATTTTTAAATAGCACATAAGTCTAAGAAGAAATAGCAATAAATTAGAAAATATTTAAAACTAAATAATAATAAAAATAAGACATCTGAAAACATCTGAGATACAAGTAAAGAGGGGTTAAAAGGCCAGGTGTGGTGGCTCACGCCTGCAATCCCAGCACTTTGAGAGGCTGAGGTGGGCTTGCCTGAGCTCAGGAGTTCAAGGCCAGCCTGGGCAACATGGTGAAACTCCATCTCTACTAAAATACAAAAGATTAGCCAGGCGTGGTGGTGTGCACCTGTAATCCCAGTTACTTGGGAGGCTGAGGCAGGAGAATTGCTGGAACCCAGGAGGTGGAGGTTGCAGTGAGCTGAGATTGCACTACCATACTCCAGCCTGGGTGACAAGAGCCTGACTCTGTCTCAAAAAAAAAAGAAAAACAAAAAAAAGAAAGGGTCAAAAAGAAATTCATAGCTTCAAATGTATACATTTGAGAAAAAGAATGATTGGAAATTCACATGATTTAAGCTTCTATCTTAAGAAGCTAGGAAGAGAACAGCAAATTAAACCCAAAGGAATTAGAAGGAAGTCAGTAATAAAAAGATAACAGCAGAAATCTTTGAAATAGAAAACAAATATGCAATAAAGAAAGTCCATAAATTTGAAAATAAACTGGAGGCCAGGTGTGGTGACTTACGCCTGTAATCCCAGCACTTTGGGAGGCTGAGGCAGGTGGATCACTTGAGGTCAGGAGTTTAAGACCAGCCTGGCCAACATGGTGAAACCCCATCTCTACTAAAAATACAAAAAATTATTCAGGCATGGTGGCGTGAGCCTGTAGTCCCAGCTACTCAGGATGTTGAGTCAGGAAACTCACTTGAACCTGAGAGGCAGAGGTTGCAGTGAGCCAAGATTGCACCACTGCACTCCAGCCCTCCAGCCTGGGTGACAGAGCGAGACTCTGTCTCCAAAAAAAAAAAAAAAAAAAAGGAAAAGAAAAAGAAAAAGAAACTGGAGATGATGCTTCCACTTGTTTCTTAGTCAAAGCTTGTTTTAGTTTTTGCTTCCATATCTGTACATTTTATTTCCTTGTCTTGTCCTATCGCACTAATAGGACTTCCCATACATTGTTGAATAGGAGCGATGAGAAGGGAGGTCCTTGCCTTTTTTCTGATCTGACAGGAAAAGCTACAGTGTCTCACCATTAAGTATGATTTTAGCTGTAGGCGTTTTGTAGATGCTCTTTATCAAGTTGAGGAAGTTCTCTCTATTCCTAGTTTGCTGAGAGTTTTTATCATGAATAAGTGTTGGATTTTGTCAAATGTTTTTTCTTTTTTTTTTTTTTCTTTTCTTTTCTTTTTTTTTGAGACGAAGTCTCGCTCTGTAGCCCAGGCTAGAGTGCAGTGGCCGGATCTCAGCTCACTGCAAGCTCCGCCTCCCGGGTTCACGCCATTCTCCGGCCTCAGCCTCCCGAGTAGCTGGGACTACAGGCGCCCGCCACCTCGCCCGGCTAGTTTTTTTTTTTGTATTTTTTAGTAGAGACGGGGTTTCACCGTGTTAGCCAGGATGGTCTCGATCTCCTGACCTCGTGATCCACCCGTCTCGGCCTCCCAAAGTGCTGGGATTACAGGCTTGAGCCACCGCGCCTGGCCCAAATGTTTTTTCTATATCAATTGATATGATCATATGATTTTTCTTTTTTAGCCTGTTGACGTGGTGGATTACATTTATTTATTTATTTATTTATTTATTTATTTATTTATTTGAGATGGAGTCTCACTCTGTTATCCAGGCTGGAGTAAAGTGACGCAATCTTGGCTCACTGCAACTCTGCCTCCTGGGTTCAAGTGATTCTCCCCCTCAGCCTCCTGAGTAGCTGGGATTATAGGTACCTGGCACCATGTCTAGCTAATTTTTGTACTTTTAGTAGAGACGGGGGGGTTCACCATGTTGGTCAGACTGGTTTCGAACTCCTGACCTCAGGTGATCTGCCTGCCTTGGCCTCCTGAAGTGCTGAGATTACAGGCGTGAGCCATTGTGCTCGGCCACATTGATTGATTTTTGAATGTTGAATCAGCCTTGTATATTTGAACTAAATCCCACTTGGTCACAGTATACAATTTTTTTTTATATAGTGTTGCGTTCAATTTGTTAATATTTTGTGTTAGAATACTTTTGCATCTATGTTCATGAGAGATACCACTGTGTAGTTTTTCTGTTTGCCTTTTTTTTTTTTTTTCAATAAGAGATAGGGTCTCACCATGTTGCCCAGGCTGGCCTCGAATTTCTGAACTCAAGTGATCCTCCTGCCTCAGTCTGCTAACTAGTTGGGACTACAGATGTGTGCTATTGTGCCTGGCAGTTTTTCTTTCTTGTAATCTCTTTATCTGGTTTGGAGATTAGGGAAGGACAGATTAGGAAGTAATGGTTTGTTTCAAAATATTCCCTGAACCTTGACTATACTAAGGAGTGATCTTTGTGAGATCTGGATGGCCCTAGTTGGAGGGCCTGGGAAGACCTGCTAGAAATGGAACAGAAAACTAGGTAAAGATCCCGGACATAAAGATTGTCGGGGAGTAACCATAGTTATTTGCTCCCCTGCTAGGTTAATATCTCATCGGGAAGGTCATATAAACATTTATGAATACTAAATTAACAATGGAAGGCTGGGTGTGGTGGTTCACACCTGTAATCCCAGTACTTTGGGAGGCCAAGGCAGGTGGATGGCCTGAGCTCAGGAGTTCGAGACCAGCCTGGGCAACATGGCAAAACCCCGCCTACTAAAAAATCCAAATATTATCTGGGCATGGTGGCATGCAACTTGGTTCCAGCTATTCAGGAGGTTGAGGCAGGAGAATCGCTTGATCCCAGGAGGCGGAAGTTACAGTGAGCTGAGAACACACCATTGAACTCCAGCTGGGGTGACAGAGCCAGACCCTATCTCAAAATAAATAAATAAATAAATAAATAAATATAAACATTAACAATGGAAGACAGTATATTGGCCAAAAACGCCCCCAGAAACCAAAAACACCTTAGAGACAGTAAATGATGTAGGATTTGAGAATGGGATGTTGGTAAACTCCTTCTTCTAAATTAAGTTTATGGTTTCTTTACCTCTTCGCCCACCTATATGGCTGAGGATGGAGGAATGAATATGTGAAACCCTGCCACAATTACACCAAATGATTCAGCATTTTATGCTCGGGAAGACATAAACACAATACAATAAAATCATATTAATTTGAGTTCCTAAAAATCAGACACATTATTGTATCCCACATTGACAAAGGCGTACCTTTGTAACATGGAGACAGAGACTCCTAATGAAGTTAGTGGCATAAGCAAAATTGTGTTGG